AATGGCCCATCCAGGGCAGGGGGATGGGGGGTGGGGGGGTCGGACTGGTTTCTGAATGTAGCAGGAGACAGGGCTGAGATAGAGGCGTGAGGGGTTCTGAGGAGAGAAGGGGAAGGTAGAGTCCAGAAGCCCTCTCGGGAACGAGGGGTCAGGAAGGGGTTGTCGAGCTGGCCTGGGTGTGGGGTTTCTCTTTCAGTGATTCCCGAGCGCCCACGAGGTGCCCGGAGAGGATGGGGGAGGGGCGGGCGAAGTTGGGGGAGGTGAGGGAGCAGGTGAGTGTAAGCGGAGGACAGAATTTGGGCAGCGTATTCAGGGGCTTCCTGGGGGTGCGGGGGCCGAGGGGGAACCTAGAGACGCCCCGGAGAGGGGTGCGGAAAGACAGTGGCCTGGCCAAGGGCTGCAGTTCGCCGGGCTAGGGTAGGTTTGTGCGGACGGAGGGGCGGGCCGGGGCGGTGGAGGGTGGGGTGGCGCGGAGCGGGCTCCCTTACTCCTCTGTCTTCTCTGTGGAGTTGGGTACCGCGAGTCGGGAGGTGAGTCCCGCGGAGAATCTGCGCGCTCTGAGGCTGCCGGCGACGCCTTGGCGACCGGGACGGCGCGGCCGCTGATTGGCTCACGCGACTGCGGCGTCGGGGGGCGGAGCCTAGGGCACCTGAGGGGTGGGGCGGCGCCACCTGCATCCTCCCGGGATCCAGGAGCTGCGGGATTAAGTAAGCACGTGGAGGGTTTTTTTTTTAATTTTATAAGTTTATTTTACATATTTTTGTAAATTTTCCCATCACAGTTGCAATCCCCTTGGGTTTCCCATGGCACGTGGAGTTTTTATTTGCCCTTGGGGTGAAATTAATTCTGACCGCTGAACCCCAGAGAATGACAGCATAGTTGTAAATGTGAATTTTCCAGGGGAAGAGTCTTCAGATTCCATCAGTTTTTCCAAAGCTCCAGAGACCCCTTTCCCAAATAAAGTCCAGAGTTTGAGATCTATAGACAGGTACCTGTAGGGTTATGGGGGTCATGGGCAGTTGTCCCCAGACCTTTGAGAAAGGAGTTCTGTGGGTCACTGAGAGGGATGTGAGGTTATTCTGGGAGCCCTTTGTAAAAGGCTACCAACCTTTTAATCTACCATCTGGGGCGGGTTCAGAGATTTCATCAGATTCTCAGACTCAAGGACCCTACACATATGAAAAAAATCACTGACATAAGTTCCAGGACTCAGCTTTTTCTGCTTCAGAATATTATATTTTCCAATGTCAGATTTTTGGAAGGTCTTTTGGGGAAAGTGTAGGGACTTAGGGGAGGTCATGGGGAGAAGACACAGGCATTGCAGGGTTCCCATGACCTGGGGTGGGGGCAGCCCTAGGTGGCTGTGTCATTGGAGCAGTTGTGGGAGTCTGGACAGGGTCCCTGTGCCCACTGAACCTCAGTTCCTCCATCTGCACACTGGGGAGAGTTGGGCTTGCCTTGTCTCTAGTTAATTTCAGGCTCAGAAATTAACAACAGCAAAGTAATGATGATGGCATGTGTTGTGGGCTTGCTGAGTGTCAGGCAGTGCTCAGTTTCTTGAAGGATTTTAACATGTTTAATTCATTTGATCCTCACACCAGGCCAAGGAGATGATGGGGCACTGTTACCCTTCTGAGGGCTCACAAAGCCTTCGTGATCATCATCCGGTTCATGCACTAATGCCCCTTCATGTCTGCTCTCTTCACATACCTCCTCATTTCACTTTCTCTGACCTCCCTGCTGTCCTTAGAACAAGCCTTTGGGCCCTCCCTGGGGCACGGTGGGTTCAAGTGCAGCACTGCAAGCAAGCCGCAGCCCCTTCAGTGTGAGTTTGATCCCCGGCTCTGGAGGTGATCCACATAGCATAGCAGATCTCTCCTCTTTCGCCCCTGCTCCCCTCAGCAGTGTACTTCATCGAGCTGCTTGTTCTGCTCCCCATTCTCTCTGGTGAATCCTCTCACTGCCCCTGCACCTCTGGCCTGTATCCTAGTTGTGTGTGCATAAATAAATCAATCTTAAAAAAAAAAAAAAAAGAACAAGCCTTCCCACCTTAGACTCTGCCTGGACATTCGTACTCTTCCCCCCACTTGACATTTTTATAGCTAACTGTTGCTGCCTTCTTGAAAGCAGGGACAAACCTGACTTTTCATCTTATCCCAGCATCCTGGGTGGAACCCGCCTTAAAGATCAGGAACGTGGCTCCAGAAAGGCTGTGCTACCTGCCCTAGTGAGTCATGCTGAACCTGGAAATGAACCCAGGCTACCTGGGGCTCACGTTTGAAATGCGCCCCTAGAATCTGGAGGAGACCTGATCCTTCCTTCCAGCTCCTTGTAGAGTTTAGTGAGTAGCAGGACTGTGTGCCGATGTGTGCAACAGGCTGGTTAGTAGAATCAGTTATTAATCACCTATAACTTAAGTGGATCATTGATGATCAAGAGCATTGACTCTAGCCATTCAGACCTCCTTCCCTAGACAGCCTGCCATTCTCTGCTCAAATGTCAGCTCCTCAGTCCTGTCCCAACTGTGTTTGAAATCCCTGTCCCACCTGACCCCAACAATCCCAGTCCCCCTTTTCAGCTTGATTCAACAAGTGTTGAAAGAATGAACAATAAAGATTATACAATGAGTATAAAAATAAATGAGCCAGCAGTGTCAATGTGATCCTCTTGTTGGTAATCATATATTCTGATAGTCAACCTGTATTGGGCAGAATAATGTATAGGACAAGGTTCTACGTGCTTTTGTGTGTAGTGTCCACTCCTCGTGACCACCCTCTAATACCGGTTATACCCATTTTCCTGATGGAGAAACTGAGGCACGGTGAAGCAAAATCTCATCCTGAAGGTACCACAGCTGGTAAACAGTAGAGGCAGGATGTGAGTTTGGACCTTCCAGCTCCTGGGCTGAGCTCTCAGCCTCTCTGGGTCTTTCTCTCCCCTCTCTCCAGTGACTGGCCATGGACAAGCCAGCTGGCCTGCAGGTAGACTACGTCTTCCGAGGTGTGGAGCATGCTGTGCGTGTGGTGGTGTCCGGGCAGGTGCTGGAGCTTGAGGTGGAGGACCGGATGACCGCTGACCAGTGGCGGGGCGAGTTTGATGCCAGCTGTGAGTGTGTCTCCCTCAGGTGGCTTGCCTGTCCTTCCTGGGGTCAGCTTCTCCGAGGAAGTGAGGCCAGTCAACCAGGACCCTGCTCACCTGGCTCTTCTCCCTGGTGAAGAGGGGGAGGAGGATTCTTTCCTCAAGCAGGAGCCCAGGAGTCGGGGAGGCTGGAAGCTTGGATGGTTGATTGGACTAGTGGTCAGGCATCAGGAAGGACTTTTCTCCCTCCCCAGTCATCGAAGATTTGACTCACAAGACAGGGAACTTCAAGCAGTTCAACATCTTCTGTAACATGCTGGAGTCGGCCCTCACGCAGGTAGGGCCCATGGTGGGTGCAGGGGAGATGCCTGCGCCCTGGACTCCTGCTTGGGGAGGAGATGCCTGTCTGGTGTTTGCAAGACCCTCTTCCTTTGCTTCCACTGAAAGGCAGCACTCTGTCCTTCCTTTCGAAATTAAGAAACTGACTCTGATTCTAGCAATAGTTATTCTCGTAGGAAACTGAAGTCTCAGAAATGTAAAGAAGGTAGCAAAAATCACCGGGGTGTCTCTGGTGGTGCAAGAGCTTAAGTTGCAGCACTGTGAGGTTCTCTCTCTGTACCATGGGTTCGATCCCAGCCAGGGTGCTGACCCAGATGGCGTGGCAGGCCTTTGCTGTCTCCCTGCTGCTCCCCTCAGCAGTGTACTTCGTCGATCTCTGTGTCTGCTCCCCACTCTGTCTCTGGTGACTCCTCACACTCCGTACCTCTAGCCTGTACCCCAGCTCATTACCTCTGGTAATAGTTTGCTGAAAAGTCACTAAGCCATTTCTCCAGTTCTCTTTTCACTTGTGAGCAAATACAGATGTCACATTTACTAACATCTGCACTATCCTCATCAGAAAATCTCTCAACTTTTAAAAAATTTTATTTATTTATGACAAGTGACAAGAGTCCGGCCGCTGGACTCCCTGCAAGGGCCCTGTGCGTCTGAGGGCATTTAGCAGGCCACGGCACAAAGCCCAGTTAAATGGCTGAGCCTGGAGCGTCCTTGTCTCTGGTTTCTCCTGGATGGGTCCTTGTGCCAGCCCGGGACAGGGCCATGGTGGCCGTCAGCCTCCCTCAGATAAGCCCAGCTCACCCAGTTTGGGCTGGGTGGTGCATGTGTCACTCTGGTCCACGCTGGGTCTGTGGCAGCTCTTCCTCTTGTCTCCCCACAGAGCAGTGAGTCGGTCACCCTGGACCTGCTGACCTACACCGACCTGGAGTCCCTGCGGAACCGCAAGATGGGCCGCCCAGGCCCCCTGGCCTCCAGATCGGCCCAGCTCAACTCCAAGCGCTACCTGATCCTCATCTACTCCGTGGAGTTTGACAGGTTGGGGCAGGCGCAGGCCCGGCGGGTAGGCGGTGGGAGAGGATATGGCTGGACCCCGGGAGCCACAGTACCCAGGATGAGGGGTGCTGCTTAGACCTGGCCTTGGGAATCTTCAGTGATGTTGAGGTTTCTGTCACTTGTCGATACTTTACTGCTAGTGTGGAGTGGCCATGACTGGTGCGTTCAGCTGAAGTTGGCCATGTCCCATGATGTCTCTGTGGAGACACAGGCTTCTTTTGCTTTTTTGTAAATTTCATCCTGACTGTGTTGGCTTTCTGACTCCCCTGGATCTCCACATGGTCACAAGGTGACTGCTGGTCCCTCAGGCACTGCATCAGTATCACAGCCAGAGGGAGAGGCACAGGGCTGCATGTCAGTTGCCTCTACCATTTTTAGCAGGAAGGCAAAAGTGCCAGAAAACTCCCAACAGGATGTCCATCATATCTGGCCAGAAGTGGTCACATGTAAGGGATGCTGGGAAATGAACAGCTGGCCAGGGAATCATGGTCCGGTGGACCTCAGTGGACGCTTGGCCAACGAGACACCTCGGTTCTGATCCTCCTCAGGATTCACTACCCGCTGCCCCTCCCGTACCAGGGCAAGCCGGACCCCGTGGTCCTTCAGGGCATCATCCGCTCACTGAAGGAGGAGCTGGGCCGCCTGCGAGGGCTGGACGGCCAGGACGCTCGGGACACCCGGGAGACAGAGATCATCTGGCACCTGCGGGAGCAGTGAGTCTGGGTGGCTGGGGGCATCCCAACATGCACTGCGGGGAGGGTGCTCATTCTTCGCTCCCTGAAGAGTGCTCCTGACCCCCTCCTCAGTGGCTGTCACGTGCTGGGGACACAGCAGTGCCCGAGATGGTCCTGGCCCTCTCCTCCTGCCACACTCTGTGGCGGGGGTGACAGGTCTGCTGGCAGACAGCACAGATGGGGGCGGGCAGGGAGCCCGGAAGGGAGACTTGACGCTGCCGGCAAGTGGGGTGTTCCAGCAGCAGAAATAGCATGTGCAAGACAGGTGGGAGGCAGAGCCACCGTCAGCGCCTCTTTGTGCTGGCCAACATGGGCACAGAGTGTTGATCACCTCCATCCCC